CAGAAAAAAAAACACACAAAAAACACAAACAACACACACACACACACACACACACACACACACACACACACACACACACACACACACACACACTAAATGGATGCTGGGATGCTAGTTTCCCCACCAAACTACTGTAGATTAACCAGCATGACTTACTAGGTCAATCAGCTCCACATGAAAACACTATGGTGGCACAAATCAGCCTGAACTGAGCTGATTTAAGTGGTTCTTTTCAGCAGGGATATACACACTCTACTCAATCAATATACATAGCAGCCATGTAAACACAGGCAGAGTCTGGGTGTCTGTCAGTGCTGTGGGCATTGGCGCTGGGTCAGTGGCATTCAGCCCAGGAATATGAACAAGAATGACCCCCCCCCCCCCCCCGTTGCAGCAGCACTGTCAGATCCCTTCAGAGACTCCCCGATACTGACCCCTATCAGCAATTGCTTTCCTTGTGTAGGTCTTCCCTAGAAACAAAACACTGGGCTCTCCCAAATTCCAGCTCACATAATGCTCATACAATTAAAAAAAGCTAAATAGGCTGCTGTAAAACTTCCACATTCTGGAAAAAAAAAGTGATTCATTTTGAATTATGGCTAAATATAATTTTTCAACTCTTCCTTACGTGGCTTATTAAAATAGCCATATACAATGCTTCTGCTCAGCTGGAGATTGGCAATGTAATTTACGATTATATTCAATATAATTGTGTAGAGCACTGTATAGGTGCCAAACTAACATTAACAGAGTGTTGATCTTTTGAAGCAATTACGCTCAAGATCCATTTAGCTGATTGTTACACTCCTCGAAATCAAGGAGCTTCAGGATTCATAAGTTGTGTAAACACGGCTGTAATAAGAGCCTGTGTTTATCAGCAGCATCTGCAACAGCGGCCTGCTTTGCTTTGCTATAAATGATGTAATGGGTATTTTTCTACATGTCACTTTTCTCTCTCCTTTTTGCCTTGCTTTATTTTTCTTTCTCAGGTTTTGCTATTTTAAAATACACAATTTTCTGTATTACAGAAAATATAATATTAAAAGTATAGAGAAATATACATAATAGTGAAGGAAAAATATACAGCACTTTTACACAAAAGATGCAGTAATCTGACAGTTTAAAGTTTTAAACCATTTCATATAAGCGTATAATACCTGGAGCAGGAAAAAGCCAATCAATCAATCAATCAATCAAGACATTAATTTATGGTTGAAATTGAGATTTTTATCTAGAGCATTTAATATTTTCCAATGTTGTCATTGCAGATATATTCTAATGATTATATCAATTATATTGACATTCAGGGCTAAATGCATGTATTGTTTTGCCAGTTCCACCACAGTTTACATGCAATTCCATTGTGGCCGATGTAAACCAATTATTGAAAAATCCCTAGTAAATCAAATGCTATTGTTCACCTGTCAAAACAATATTGCGAGACTGAGACAGTAACCCTGTGGTCCACCCATGTCTAAAGTCAGTGTAGTGTCACAGACATTGATCATTTTCACAATTGCTGTCATGGTCTGCCTATTCAGTGCTCCTGAAGCTAGTTCAAGTTTCCATTGCATAAGCCTAAAAAGTGAGCACAGGGCAGAGCTGTGGTCAGTTAGCACCACAGAGGCATATATCATTACTTTGTGATAGCTGTATATAACTATACTTGAGGTTCACCAAAAGAATGCAAAAGACCTGGAAAAAATTTTTATTGGAAAGGTTATTTTTTCCATGCCAAAGTCTGATTTTCATTTTGTTTTAGTGTTTACACTACAGTATATATCAGTGTCCACTTGATTTTTTTTTGATGAAATATTCTTGACTTAAATCCATGTCATAGCACAAAGGTTAAAAACACACAGACACACACACAAACCACCAACCTGAAATACAATACATAAAAATTATACATATACACTAAATATTTTCTGATAATTCTGATTCTGATAATGCATATACTTTTTGCCTTTCTAGAATATACACTACCATGCAAACATTCGGTGCCAGTAAGATTTTTTTAATGTTTCGGTAACACTTTACAATAAGGTTAATTAGTTAACTACATTAGTTAACATGAACTAATAATGAACTGCACTTATCCAGCGTTTATTAATCTTTGTTAATGTTAATTTCAACATTTACTAATACATTATTAAAATCTTGTTAACATTAGTTAATGCACTGTGAACTAACATGAACATCTGTATTTTTATTAATTAACATTAGCGTAGATTAGTAAATAATGTATTGCTCATGGTTAGTTCATGTTAGTTAATATATTAACTAATGTTTAACTAATTAACCTTATTGTAAAGTGTTACCAATGTTTCTGAAAGAAGTATCTTATGCTCACCAAGGCTGCATTTAATTGATCAAAAATACAGTACAACATTTTTAAATGTAATTTAAATAAAATAGAAATAGAATGTTTTTACTGTCACCTTTGATACATTTCAAGCATCCTTGCTGAATAAAAACCCCCCCCAAAAAAACAATTACCCCAAACTTTTGTCCGGTTATGTACGTATAAAAAGAATATTATCAGAATAACAAAAGTGACTGAGACTTTGACTAAAGAATAAAAATGAACTCAGTTTAAAAGTAATTTTAAAGATTTACTATTGAAATTATTAAAGTGTCAAAACTAGTCAAAACTGCATTTGTAATGTTGCTGTCTAATAATGCTGACTGATTTGTTGGATCACACCTCTCACTCCCCTCATATACCCAATATTATTGTCTCAGACCTTTGCGGAAACTTGGTTATATCAAGAAAAAAAGGAGATGGTCATTATTTGAAATTTATTATGCTGAGCATGGTATACATTCAGCCAAGTGCTATTTGCTCACTTCAACCTTTACCCTGTATGTAGTTTGGAAATCATTAGTACTGAAAGAAATGTAATAAACTTGACAGTTAGTCTTTTTTGTGATTTAGGTTATGGGATTACGCTCCATTATTTCTTTGTGTAATTACTGCTGTTCTAATACCAACTCTTTTGCAAACTAGCTTTAAATTTAAGCAAAAGCAAGTAGCTGGCAGTCAGACAAATATTTTCTGACTGGAAAGTCTCCACACTGGTTTTGACAAATAGAAATTCTTGTGCATCGTAATATGTTAAGTTCTAAATTATTCTTTGTAGATTCATGCACACGCTTGCGAAATTTTAAAGTGCTTTTATGTGCCATGTCTCCACATAGACTGTGTGTGTGTGCATATGTACAGTATGTGGGAATGTATTAAGCACACTTTAATTCTGCTATGCAGGTGCCCCTGCCATGCTTCTTAAATGGATATTTCTATCTTTCTAATTCTATCATGTTTACTCTCCCTCATGTCATTCCAGACATGTATGGTTTAAATGTATGTATAATCTATGTCTTTTTATTCATGCAATAAGAGTCAATGGTTTTTTTTTGGATCCCATTTAGTTTCATCGTGGGGAGAAAAAAAATTGTGTTCCACAGAACAAAGTCACACACAGGTTTGGAATGACATAATGGGAGTGAGTAAATGATGACAGAATTTGTGAACTATGACTAACTACTTTATAACCTACATTTAGGAAGACTGCAGCTGACTAAACCAGCACTAAAGAGCACAAACTACATTGAAATGGAAAATTCTAAAAAATAAAAAAAAACAAGCTGTAAACAATTTGCTGACACTGTTAGGATTTAAAAAGCATATCTTCATACTACATCGAATGGTTGTGCTTTTTATATACACAAACTAAAAAGTTTGTCAGGTTGGAATCTGAAGGTCTAATCTGAATTGCCAGAGGTGGCAACTCTTGCACACTTTGTGTTTGGCCAAAGAAAGGGTTTGTTTTGGCCAGTATTCTCAAGAGACGCTGTGTGATTAGCATAGCATAACAGTTTGAGAGAACAAATCTATTTTTAGCGATGAGAATGCTGATTAGATTCCTGAAACTCTTTACCGGCACAGGCCACTATAAACCATGGCAAAGTGTGCAGGACGCCACAGGCTACAGCCCTGCTAAGATCCAGATATTTTGAAATTGAGAGCTCGTAAGTCTTCACCTGCCTGTGCATGAGCTACAAGTGCAATACATACTTTTTTGTATAGTTTGCCTTGTTTTGCCTTTTAAAATAAGAAAACTAAGTGGTTAACAGCTGAAAAAGGGGAAATGTTTGGTGTGACACAACACTAGGTCAACCTAATAGCTTGATTCCTCTCCATAGCTTCACCAGTGAAAAGCATTTAAAGATCCCACAGAGAGTAAAACTATGAATGAACGCAGGAACTTATCGTCAGGTTTTAGAAATAACAACACTTTCATCTTATCCGAGACATTCCCCCAAACTAAATATAACAATTGTTCAGAGAGATACATATCTCAACTTATAATTATTTTTATTTTTTATTTCTGAAGGATCAGTAACACTGAAGACTGGAGTAATGGCTGCTGAAAATTCAGCTTTGTCATCACATTAATACATTATCCCTTAAAATATATTCAAATAGAAAGCAACTATTTTAATTGTAATAATATTTCACAATATTACAGTTTTTTACTGTATTTTAATCAAATAAATGCAGCTTTGGTAAGCATAAAAGAAAAATCTTAGCGGACACAAACTTCAGAACGGTGTTGTATATAACAACCTAAAATAAAAGGTATTTTATACAAACCCATATAACTTTGAATGTATTGACAAGATGTGTAACTGGTTGTGGCAAAACAAAAAAGTTCCTAAACTGTTTCAATCAACATTTTTACATTAAAATAATGAGCAGCATTCACTTAAAAATCAGAAAGTACCTGTAATTGTGTTTTTCACTGTCGATGTGGAAACTGTCATACTGTGAGAAGACCTGGTGTTCGTCCCAGTCTGTCAGCTCCACACGGAGGGCATACTCCCTCTGATTGGTCAGAATATGCACAAACTCATTTCCCAGCCAGTGTTCGGCCGACACGCTCCCAAAGCCCTAGAAAAGAGGGTGGACTCCGGGTCAGTTTAAGTATCTACTTGGATCACGGGAGGCCTTGGATAAGGCAATGGGAAAGAAAATCCTGTCCAAGATATTTCAAGCCTAATAGAATCAACACAGGGACGGAATTCCTCAATTCATCATTTTCTTGAGATAATAATTACAGATTTCCAGAAAATGTTGACGCATGAAGGTATCAATAACCACTGGTCCGTTTCTGAGCCTAAATTTTCAATGGCTGCATCAGATCTGGAAAGACTGAGAAAACACACTACATTATGACATGACATTTACAGTACTAATATTTGATTTTTGTGTAATGCCAAAGAGAAATGCAGAACTGTGTATATAGTATCTAAATAAACATGTAGTGCATGACATGACTTGAATGAGATGAGAAGCAGTATGTTGTCTCGTGTCATTTCTATGCACACAAACACACACTCTGTAGCGTCTGGACCACTCCAACACACCAATGAGCTGATTAGCTACACACTCACACACAAAAAAATCATTTAACAGTTAAGTTTTTGCTTTGCTTCCAAAAGATATTTTGGACAAGTTTCCATGTGTGTAATGGATCCATTCAGCTATAAACAGCTGCAGAAAGGCTTCTGAAACATGTCATAATGCAGTGCAGGTGCTAGCCACAGTAATAATTACAGTACAGCGTAACAGAACCATATCCAAGTACGAATACAAATCTTTAATGAGCAACATCTGTAATTAGTGTACCTTTCCCTGCATTCCTCCCTGCTTCTGCAAAATGAGAAAATTTCCAGTGAAGGCAATGGAAATCACGAGTGCTGGATGGATTTAAACATACACATGCCATCACGTATTGTTTAACCCTGCATGGTACCATTTTTTTCTGTATGTAAAGAACAAATGCATATAATTACAAAAATCAAATAAAAGATTTCTAAGTAAATAAACAGGAAACACTGACATAGTGGAAAATTGTGTTAAAAATTATAACATTTTCCTTGATTAAATTAGAATGTCTTTGTTTTTTGAATTAACAGATGCATTTGTGTACTTGAAACTAAAATTGAATGAATCATTATCATAAGTTCTTCGATATTTTTCCTAAAAGCATAAAAAAAATCAACACTCCTTTACAAAAAGACTTCTCACTGTTGTCATTTGGTAGAGCTAACACAGCTTGCCCTTTCCATTAAACATTTCTATCGTCATTTTGGTCTAAAAAGAAGAAATACAAATCAGAATTGTGTTATTTATGCATAAATGGAATTGTATAATGGAAAGCACTTTCAAATAAATTTTATATAATTGATGCCAGCATCTATAAACATTCTCAATAAGTAAATGAAACACAGCAATTTTTCCATTGCAATAAAACATTGTCGCACGGAAACTTCAATATTTTCTGTAAAACTATGTCATGATGTAGAAGAAACAGTGCAATTTATTAACAGACCAATTTGTGGAGATCTTCAGCAGAGATCTCTTGAAAGGTCATGTGGCTTAAAAACGGCATTTTATTGGATGAGAAACAAGTGAGAAATTAAAGAGAAATATGTTGCCATATGGCTATACTGTAGGGTTAGATACTTAAACAATGCCTATATGTGTTTATATGCAACCAAAATGAAGTGTGCTACAGGCAAAGTGATGATAATATGACTCATATTGCATTACAGACTGACTAAAACCTTCTTCTCGCTTATTAATTGCTGGCTCGTGGGAGCAGGTGATTGATGAGCAAGAGTTTTGTGCAGTAAATATGAGACATTCATTTCGCCTGTAGCACCTCCTGTGAGAGTAAAGAGAGTCTGTTCTCCAAAAATCCTTGTAATGCGCCTGAAACCTGATGGCTATTTTTCCGTAACCTGTATCTGTTTATGTTGTCCGGGGGTGCTTGTTCTGTTCTGATTGGGTTTCCCCTTGGAAGCCTGGCCTTTGTGCATGGGATCATCCCTGAGAAGATTTTTTGCCATGAAACCGCAACATTTCTTATGTGAGTAATGTAGAGGAAAAACGAAGATCAATTGTTATTTTATACCCTAAAACAGGGAGTTCTCTTGGGTGTGTGGTTTTCTATACAACACAACATCGGTGTCTCAACAACTCACTCTGTTGCTATGTATCATTCCAGTAATAGCCATTCAAAGTGGCCTGTCCAAAACCCTTTCTCCTGTAGAGAAGAATGGAGAAAAGTCAGATTAACACTGCCAAAACCTAGGAACAATTGTTTCCATGGTCTAAATATCTGATTCCTTCTGATGAAGAGTTTCTCCCATCTTCTGTTGGGAAAATGATTGGGAAAAGAGAAATAAAAACCTTGATTATGTTGATTGTGACTGGCTGGAGCGGATACTCAAACGAGGAGAGGTGAAGTTATTCCAATTTTTCATTTGATCCAAACCAGAAAAAAGACACTACAAATAAAAGCTTCAGCGAGGAGCGCACCAACTCTTTCATGAGAGTCAGAGCTGACTTTATGTCCCTAAAACTCAAACAGGTCCAGGTCAAAGACATGGCTTTTTAAAAACATGGCTGCCATTCATTATTATCACATCGAATATTAAAAAATAGGCATGTCATTGGTCAACTGTCATTAATCAACATACAGTGGGTACGGAAAGTATTCAGACCCCCTTAAATTTTTCACTCTTTGTTATATTGCAGCCATTTGCTAAAATCATTTAAGTTAATTTTTTTTTCCTCATTAAGGGCAAGTGCATTTATACTCTCACTGCCTCTTTTATTTGAGTGAGCATCAGAAATTTCACTATTCTTAACCCAAGACAGTACAACACAGACAAATGTTTTGATCTTTTTGTCCTATATTTGATCTTCAGAATAGGCATATTTGATCTTTGTCGTTTCTGGCAAGTCCAACGCTGCGCTGCGTTAGCTTCAGTTCCCAGTCTGGATCTCTTCAACAGCAATGTTTCCATCCAAGTTGCGAATTTAATTTACGCTATGTTTGCTAGCAATCAGTGGAAGATGCCTCATGGCTGGATGTGACAGTATGTCAGAAAGTTCTGGGAGTTAATAGTAGAGCCCATTATTTTTATGACAGACTTCGGCTCTAGCATTTCAGAATGACCAGAGCAGGGTTGCTATTATTAACTAAAACTATTCAAATTAATTGCTAACTGAAATAAAGTCAGTAAAACAAAATTTAAATATTAGATGATTAACTTAAACTTAAAAGATTTGAAATTGGTGAAATGAAATAAGCTGAAGTGGAAATACAAAAATGACTAAAACTGAAATAAATGAAAGAAAACCTAATAAAATGGCAAAACTACATACAAACTAAAAGGAAAATGACAATTGAAAATATAAAGATAAGAGCTATTTTAATGCTATTTTAATATAATGCTGGACCAGTTCAACCTTTCTTCTCTGAATTATTCAGTCACATAACTTGTCTTTTTATTGGAAAAAAAAATCTTTTTTTATTAAAAAAAATAATAGAATATTAGAAACAATATTAGAAAAAAGATAACACTTTATTTTAAGGTGTCATTGTTACACATGTTACATGTACTTACTATTATAATAACAATTAATTATGCATAATTACATGCAAGTAACCCTAAGCCAAACCCTAATCCTAACCCTAACCATATAGTAAGTACATGTAGCTAATTAATATTACTCAGTACTTAAATGTATAATTACAGTGAAACAAAGACACCTTAAAATAAAGTGTAACCGAAAAAAATATTGGAAATAATGATAAAAAAAAAACAAATAAATTGGATGTAAACAGACAAGTTCAATCCGGGGAAAGACAAAATACAATGCTGATAAAAGAAAATAAAGCCTAATGTTTATTACTGTACATGCAAATACAAATATAAGGAAAAACATGTATAAACATGATTAAATGATCAAATAAATGACATGATGCTCATTATTGCACACTTAAATATATATAGCAAAATGAAATATGATTAAAAATAATCAAATTAAATATCATAAAAAAATAATAAAATAGCCTTTCTGTAGTTTAAATGGAAGAGTATGACACTAGCAATGCCAAGGTCATTGGTTCAGTTCTGTTCAAAACCTGAAATAAAATGTGCATCATGAATGCAATGGAAGTCACTTGAGGTGAGGTGAGGTGAGGTGAGGTGAGGTGAGGTGAGGTGAAGTGAGGTGAAGTGAGGTGAAGTGAGGTGAAGTGAGGTGAGGTGAAGTGAAGTGAAGTGAAGTGAAGTGAAGTGAAGTGAAGTGAAATGAAATGAAATGAAATCCTAGTGCTTATTCTCGTACATTCGAATAAAAAAATGATCATGATTATCCAAGTTATTGTAAAGAGTTACAAAATATTTTAAAATGCGTAGGGGGTTGCTCTTATGTTGAATTTGGAGTTTGGTTCTAACCGATGGCAAAAACTACACTGTGATCTTTGCTCGTCTGAATGATCAGGAAAAGCTTTACATGTAAATCTTAGCTAAACTGTGGTAAATTGAGCTATTAAACAGCTTGTGTCCTGGCTCAAAAAAATTATAATCACAATATTTATTTACATTTAAATTCTTGGTGGTTCAGTTGGGACTTTTGTTTGGAACAAGTTTATGTGAAAAGAACATCCAAGTTGAGTGATTTTATAAATCAGAATTCTCCACACGCTCGCAGACACAAAACAAAGTTTAAAATAAGCAAGAACTGAAAATCCCAGTGCGGTGTGTTGGCGAAGTGAAAACTCAAACTACTGCACTGCATCTTTATATAAACAACTGAAACGACAAAGTCTGATTCTTTCAAATGGACTGAGAAAGCATGAAAATGATGGCCACCAGCTGAGCGAGCAGAGTATTTTTTTTAAAACATTCCCTAAGCCATAAACCATTTTAATCATAATGTGTGCCTAAACCCAAAAATCATATTTTGACATATTACCTTTTTATATTTACATGCAGCACTGAGTCATAGCCTGTCCCTAGAGAGCTTAATTTGGAGACAGAAAATAATATTTTGGTATTTTAATCACTAAAAATGATTGATGCCAGTGAGTAAATAATAATTAGCAAATAGGGATTTATTACAGCCATCCAAGTGGGAGAACAGCTATATCTAATAATGCAATCTAATGATGCAAGTTACGCTTATATTATATTTTTCATAATAACCCTTAATACTGCTTCAAATAATATCCAATAATATTTTTTACAAATAACAGCTTGGTATTTATGAACTCACTACAATCTAGCAACATCAAAGATGCTGTATGTTTGAAACCATCATATTTCTTCTATTGACGCACATGCTGAGGTAAACTGTGCTAGTTAACTTGCAGAGAAGTTCAAATATTTAGGTACATGAAGGTTA